GTAAAATTGTTCATTTGAACTAGTGGAACACGCGGACGGTACGCGCGGACGCTCCGCTCCATCTGAAAGCGCTGTTAGTATAAATAAAATATGATATTTGAAAGACTAACTCGAATCATTTCAGATTGGGCATTAAAATTTTTCGACATTTTCGGAATCCCGGGATTTAATATCGGTATTTCGGGGATAAATATACAATGGGCACCCGGTTTGGAAACCCCAAGCGACCGACTATCATATCATTTAGAATACGTTCGGGATTTTCCTCGCGGAAAATTTTAATATGTTATGGTAATAATATATAACTAATATACAGTATTTGTCCGGATTGTCTTTACAAGAGGAAAAACATATTTATTATTAATATTTTGAGAAAAATGCATTCTTAATAAAAAAATTTTGCTTGTTCTAAAATGGTTAATCCCGTTTGAAAATGATAAACATGAACCGTTTTGTGTTTCTTTATCCTTTATCCCGTTTGAAAATGATAAACATGAAAATATCGTTGATTTTTTCTAAGCCCTAAAAATGAAAACGAGTTTTTATGGTACGAGTAACATAATTTAGATTTCATTCTTTGATAGATGAGAATTATGAATTTTGATTAATGACATATGTTTTGCTATTGTTAAGGTATCACATTTTTCGATAACCATTATCATCCTTTCCGTAGCATTGAACTAAATAAGTTTTGTGTTTCTTTATCATTTTAAAACGCAAAAAATATGACGCTAATTAAAATTCTATCAATAACAACAAAGAACGAAAACCATAGAAACGCGTTTTGATTTTTAGAACTTTAGACAAAAAATTCAACCATATTTTCAGTTTTTTTAATTTTCTCTAAAACGGTATGGAAATTTGGAAAATTATAAACGGGATTAACCATTTTAGAACAAGCAAAAATTTTTATGAAGAATGCATTTTTCTCAAAATATCAATAATAAAAAAGTTTTTTTCCTCTTGTAAAGACAATCCGGGGACATACTGTATAATTAACATTTTAATAATATATTATGATATAAGTGTGTTCCTCAATGAGATTTAGAGGCGACTCTTGAGTTAATTTTCCGCCAAAAGGATTCTAGGAACCTTGTCCACTCTGTATCTCAGTTATCAAGTTGATAGGTTTAGGAAATAGTTTCCTGTGAAGTTTTTTTTCTTAAAATTAACCAATAATTTCCCCCGTGAACCTAACTATATCATTAAGAAACACCCTATATATATTTTTATTAAATATTCTAGGATTTATTATGTAGTTTTTTTGGCGCATTTATATTTATACAAAGGGGTACCTGAAAGACAAGATAAAACCGATCAAAATTGAATTGTTTTAAATGGAGAAACTCATAGCAGATATTGATTCTAAAAAAATTTCTTGATTTGATTCTAATCAAATTTTTTTAGAATTTTTCATTTAACGTACCATACACTGATTCAATTACTTTTGAATTATTCATGTTTGAAAATTATATTTTTTTAGTATTTCTTAGATTTGTCTATACCATTAAATATTAACAGCCAAACCAGGCTGTGTCTATGTTCTTATATCGTTATTTAAAAGTCTTTCATAAGGCACATGAACTGCTTTTCAAAATCTGAAAATGTAAATTTTCAAATGTAATTAATTAAAAACAGTACAATAATTATTCATAATATTAAGTTAAATGAATAATACTTATTTTTAATCAAAATCATAATATATCAAAATAACGGGTGTTCCATTTTAAAAAATGCATTTGTGTTTGTTCATGCGCAGCTAAATGATTGAAAATCTACCTTATACAGGATGGATCCCTCTCATACATAGCTCCAAGGAGAACGGTAGTTTATATCGAAATGAGATTTTTGGTATCAAAGTTGTGTTTTTCTGACGGAATACCCCTATATATTAATTGATTTTTGGATTCTAGCAAATAAAAAAATAAGGTGAGTTTTATTAAAGAATCTAAGGATTTTGACATATTTCACATTTTTTGAAAACGAAGAGTAAATTTTAAATTTCGATAACAGCTACCTAAATTTTAGTTGATCTTGTATAGCCTGATATTTTTACAGTAACTATTGTATGTTAAACCAAATTGAAATTTGACTCGAAAAGTTATACAGTGAAACCATATTAATATGGAACATTAGTCACTTTTAAAAAGCAAGTTACTCCCTTTATTTTTTTAAAAAGAACATCCAGTACATTTTTCCGGTGTTCAGTGGGGAATTTGTAATTAATTAATAATTTGTTGTTTCTTCAAAATATTATTAAGGTTGCCAACCCCTTAGACAAAGATTTTCTTAGATATTTTATTTTTTATGATTTTCAGTAGATCTTTATTATTTGAAGAAATCTAGGGTGGCTGTGTGATATTACCTTTTGTTAATTTAACAAAAAATAAAGATTGTAGAGTAAATTTCTCAACGGTAATAAAAAGATACACGTTTAAAACATATTTTAATTATGACAGAATTAAAACTAGACATAAACCTATAATTATGTGACAAAAATGAAATCAAATACTCAAAATGCTTCCTTTCCTGTTAACTGACAAACAAAAGGATCTTTTCATTTTAAAAGACATATGTGGAGTTCTGCCTAGAAGAGCAGCTACAATAATTTCTCTCATGTTGTCGACAATAGTTGGTCGAGTTTTGTAAACACTGTCTTTAACATATCCCCATAAAAAAACCAGACGAGATAAAATCAGAAACATTTAAGTATTCTATTAATTGGTGAATGCACACTGCAAATGCAACCTAACTTAACAATACCTAATAATAATATAAGTTTGCATTTTCGGCAAAGTTCTAAGAAATTTTTTTGTTTTAACTGACACAAAATGATAACTAGTTGTTAAAGTTGGATTAATTAGACAGCTATGTTGAAGTAACGTCAGACATATCAGAGCCACCTAGATTTTATCAAATAATATAGATCTATATTATTTTCTTAGATCAAATCATGTAAATGAAAATATCTAAGAAAATCTTTGTTTGAAGGGTAGGTAACCTTAATAGTATTTTGAAGAGACATGAATTCTCATTTTGAAGAGACATGAATTCTCATTCTCTCTCTCTCCATTGAATATCTGAATAATACATTGGGTGTTCCATTTAAAATAAAAGAGTAACATTCTTTTAAAGGTGACCAGTGTTCAATATTAATTTTGTCTCACCCTGTATAACTTTTTGGATCAAGTTTTAAGTTGATTTAAAGTACGATAGTTAATTTAACTATATATTCGGCTATACCGGGTAAATTCCAATTTAGGTAGCTTTTATTGTAATTTAAAAATTGTTCCTTATTTCTAGAAAATGTTAAATATGTCAAAAATCTTACATTTTAGTCATATACTTCTCTTATAAAACTCACCTTTATTTTTCTCCCAGAATCCGAAAATCGATTAATATATAGGGTACATATATAATACATTACAAAAAATACAACTTTGATATGTAACTTTTTTTGGGGACACCCTGTAGAAGTCTCTATATTTTTAAAAAGTGCTCTGAATTAAACTACATATGCTCACAAATTTTCATTTCAATACAAACTGTCGTTCTCCTTAGAGCCTCCGCGGCGTATGAGAGGCGCCACCCTGTACATTCCCAAATATTTTTTAAAAATTTGGGACGCAACAGAAAACATAAAAGAATAGAAATTAAATAATATGGTGTGTATTCTGAATCGGTACTTTTCGGGAATGTACGTATCTAAACGCCGGGTTTACCACAAATATGAGTGTGTATAAAAATGTAGATGGCGCTGCGATACAGTGAAGTTTAGGTTACCACATTCTGAAAGTGTGTGATACCAAAAAATATTATGATTTGTGGAAACTTACACACGTAATTTTTCGGATCTAGCCGACCAGACTAATTTTGACCCGAGGATATCGAATTTGCTATCAGAAAATTGTGGTATACGCGTGTATGTATACCATAATTGAGACGTATGTCACAAATACTACTACTGCACACACAAGGTGTCACAAATATGGTCACACATACACTCTGTATCTTGTAAAAATATTTTTAAATTGTAGCTCTAATAGTCCTTCAACGAACCCAAAACTTACAATTGGTAAAAATCTAATCGTTTAGCTACAATACTCCGTGTCGTATGTGGTGAACAACCCTGTATATTTTTCATGCTTCTCATAAAAGTATCTTTTTGTTTCGACAACAAAACACAAATTACTTCAATTTTCATGTACCTGTATTCTGTCCAACGAAAATATCTATGATAGTGACAGTACTGACAGTTATGTCAGTCATTGTAATTCAATGTATTAGGCCGCTGTTACACTATCATATTTCTTTGTCAAAGATCTTTTTTAATAGCTATTTACAGTACAAGTGTGTTTATGAACATGATTACAACAACGAGTGTGAACGTTCACCCGAGTGTGTTAATCATGTTATCTAATCACCCGAGTGTGGTAATCATGTTTAAACACACGTGTCATGTACAACGTTTTATCTACAACCGAAAAATAAGAAAATGTGTTTTAATTTTCGTTTATTAGTCGCCCACCTTTAACACCTTTAACTATGACATTTGTCACATTTTTTTCTGAAAAGTCAGTTTGCCGAAGTCAGTTTGCAGAAAAATCATTTTAAAAATGAGCGATTCCGAAAGTCTTCCTTCAGATGTAGAAGTTGCTTCAGTACGTGCCACGGAATAATTATTGCCGGAAAAGTTAATATATATGTAGATGTTCGTAGTTGTTTTTCATTATTATAAACACTAGTTGTGTTATAGATTCATAACACTACTAGTTGTGATATGAATCTCATAACGTAACTGAAATACTAAAAAAATAGTGATGTAAAAACGTTATAACTAAGCGGTTGTAGATAAAAGCTATTTGATGAAAAATTTGACAGTGTTAATATACAATATTTTATAAAATCACACATATTTCACTGTCAAATTCTTTGATAAAATAAAATCTTTGATAGTGTAATAGTAGCCTTAAACAAAGGTATAGTAAGTATATTTTTAGGAATTAATGGTTATGATTAAAGGTGGTTTTCCTTTTACTCCTGTAGTGGAACCGAACCACAAAGATGCCGTTATAACAAATGACAGCTATGACGAAATGAAAAAGGGAAATTTTCCGAAAATGCCCGTTTTAGCTGGAGTAACCGAATTTGAGTTTGGTCTTTTTCAAGGAAGTATGTATAACGCTATTATTAAAGAGAATTAGTTAGTAAAACTTATTTATTTTCATGCAGTTACCAAAACATAAACATATTAAATTTTTTCTAATGGCACGAATTTCTTTTTTTTTGATGAGGTGGGAAAAAATCTTGCATAGACACCTTCAATACCAACGATGTTGTATGATATTTGGTAGTGTCGGATTCTTACCGACTAAAAAAACCCTCCTCCCTTCGTTTCGCCTTCTATGCACCGGTAACCGCTCTCGCATTTCTTCAGTGAATTAGGCTATCTAAAGAAGATGTTCTTTTTCTTTGGTCTCTATTATTTCTCTGGCAGTCTTATATGCGCCTTCCCAAGATTCTGTGCTCTTGGCTAGACTTTCCATCATGTTAGAAATATTAAATGTAAGTCCTGTACGTATTTGAAATTGATGTCTTTCTTGACTCCATCGGAAACTGTAGTATAGGGTATGTTCAACGTCGTCCACTGTGCCATAGTATTTACAAAGATCAGTATTGGATATTTTCCGTTTATAGAACTACTATCTAAAACACCCGTGTCCTGAAAGTGCTTGCGTTAAATAATAGTCCACTTCACGTTTCGAGTTTAGCCATGTCTCAATATCTGGGATAAGCTTGTGTGTCCAGCGTCCGTACTTTCCGTTGTCGCATTTTTGCTGCCAGCGTTTCACTAAGTTCTTTCGGGCTTCATATTTTGCAATACCCTCATAAAGTTCAAGCCTTTCTATTATTTGCAGTTTTATGGGGGGAATTTTAGATATTATATTTACGGCCTCTCTCGATATTGACCGATACGCACATGCTTTTCTTTGGATCTTACCTAGTTTTTGCACAAGTCTTTTATTTTCCGTCACTTTGTGCCACGCTGGAGCCGCATACAGAATTTGTGAGTGCGCCACACCCATAAGAACCCTCCTCCTAAACGATTTTAGTCCTCCGACATTTGGTAAAAGTCGGCTTAATAACGTGTAGTGCCCTCGACCTTTTGTTAAGTTTTATTAATATGCTCGACAAAGGTTCTTTTTGTGTCTAGCCATATGCCTAAATATTTAATTGCTTGTTTTGGACTAACTGTAGTGTCTGCTATCTGAAACGTTATAGGAGATAACTTTCATTTAGTAGTTAGGACAACAGCTTCGGTCTTTTTCGGGGCCAATCTTAATTTTCTGCAAAGCAGCCATTTACATGTTCTTAGTAGCGAGGTATTAACAACATCCATTAATATACCGGGTGTCCCATTAAGAATAGCTCTCGGCTGTATCTCGGAAAGTATTAGCCGTAGAGGCTGCGGAAAAAAAAACACTTATAACTAAAGAGACTATGGGAAATTGCTGGAAATTATTTTCAAGTTTGTAGAACGACCGCTAGGGGGCGCAACTGCAACAGAAAATAAGAAAATGGAGTTTTTACACAATTTTGCCTAGATAAGGTGTACTATAGGTAATAGCTTCATAATCTTCACTAGATTTTGAATATTTTTTGTTAAAGCCATTTTCCCCTATTTACCAAAATAAAGTGGTGGGAGAAGGTTAGATCTGTTTTTATTTAAATATTAATAACTCTGGACCGGATGATCGGAATCCAACAAGCGAGGGCTCGTTTAAAAGAGTGTTTCTTACTCTATATTGTACCATATAAACAATAATAATAAGCTTTTGAACGTAGACGCTAGGAGGCGTTGTCTTACCATTTAACAAACATTGCGCGTTTTTTCAAAAAAATTAAATGCAATAGTATATGTAATTTTAGCTGATAGTAAAGAGTAGTAAAAGCTTAAAATGTCAGCGAAAACCGCATCTTGATATCTTCTTTCAAACCAAAGATATTAGCAAAATTATAATAAATACCAAAAAATAAGCCCTTAATTACCTTATTTTTACAACACGGTATCAGTAGCTCTGTTAATTATGCCCATTCTAACAAAAAAATAAGATAGAAACAGTTAGTTTATTTAAAAATCGACGAAATACCAGAATACCATAATACCAGAGGTAATAATTAACATATTAATAACAGTGAAAGGCATTTTGAAAAAATGCCTTTCACTGTTAGAAGAAGAAAGGCATTTTGAAAAAGCAATTAAAAGCTAAAAAACGCTGTATAAGACTATCAAAATGTTGATCTAATAACAATTTGACGTTTATACTATTACGTCAAAAGCAACTTTTTTCCAAAGCCCACTATGACTTCACTGAATCATTGTTTCTTGATCACTGTAATTAATATGTTAATTATTAGATATTAATACCTCTGGTATTATGGTATTCTGGTATTTCGTCGATTTTTAAATAAACTAACTGTTTCTATCTTATTTTTTGTTAGAATGGGCATAATTAAGAGGGCTACTGATACCGTGTTGTAAAAATAATATTATTTTTACAACACGGTATCAATTAAAAAAACTCCATTTTTTGTTGCAGTTGCGCCCCCTAGCGGTCGTTCTACAAACTTGAATGTAATTTCCAACAATTTCCCATAGCCTCTTTAGTCATAAATATTTTTTTCCGCAGCCCGTACGACTAATACTTTCCGAGATACAGCCGAGAGCTATTCTTAGTGGCACACCCTGTACATTCATTTTTGGCTACTGCTACCATAGCCACGTCATCTGCAAACTCTATTAATGTAACGCCGTCAGGCATTTCTAGTTTAAGCAAATCATCATATAAAATGTTCCCCAATGTCGGACCAAAAACTGAGCCTTGCGGGACACCACTATTTATGGTTAGCGTTTTTGTAATATTTTCAGTTTCTATCTGTATTGACCGATCTCAAAAGATATGATGATATGATCTTAATAAAGTTCTTCTCGATGCCTCTTCTATCTAGTGCCTCTAGGATTTGTTGCCATGAGGCGCTGTTGAATGCATTTTGCACATTAAGGGTGATAACTGCACAGATTATTCGGTTCTGAGGAGCAAACTTTGCAGCATCATCCGCAATTTTCAGTACTTCACGTATGGCATCAACAGTTTGTCGACCCTTTCAAAAGCCGTATTGTTTTTCGGAGAGACTTTTATCGGGCTGCGAGAGTTCTTCTTTTAGCTTTCCCAATATCGGATGTTCGTAGAGCTTTCCCTCAACGTCCAGTAAGCTAATGGGTCTGTATGCTGTTGGATCATGAATTTCTTTGTTTATTTTAGGTAATAAAATAACTGTAGTTATTTAGTTCTTCAGTACTATTGGCAATTAGGATTGAGTCATCAGCGAATCTTAGTTAAGATATTCTCCATCTATTTTTAATCCTTTGTTAGTCCAGTCCAGAAACAACCACGGAAGATTTCTTCTAGTGTTGCTGTAAACAGCTTTGGGGATATAGCGTCTCCCTTTGGTACTCCTTTACCATTTGGGAACTCGTAGGGAGGTTGTTTTATACTCTAGGTACTGTATGTGTGTATACCTACGTATTTATAGAATTATAAAATAATTAAATAATAAAGAAAAATTATTAAATTATTATTATTAAAGCATTGTTAGTTCATTTCAGCTGTACAAGTATTTTACCCTTATCTTGTTACGCTACTGAACGTAACACCTGGATTTGCAGTCAAAAATATTAAATCAGTTGCAGACAGATATATCGTTGGTAAAAAAATTCAGAGATACTTTACACACAAAGATAGTTATGAGCTATCTAATATGAGAGATCTGTTGGAGGTACGTTATCCTTTTAAATTATATACAGGGTGTTTCAAACAATGTGTTCTATAGGGTTCATATTTGTCGAACATGCTGGGTAGTACAATTACAGCAACCCTCGAAAAGTTAAATGAAAATAATATATTTTGTTTATTTTTAAGAACACTGGTACCTAACTCGTTATTCTAGAAATTTTGTACTCTTACACACATTTTAATGCCAAAGTGAATGGCGATAGTGTAAAATTCCGTAACTGCCCTGAAATGGTCTATCCATTAGTGTCGAGAGAACCACTGATGGTACTTCTTTTATCCTTATAGATACAGCAATTTCAATAAATAAAAATTAAAGCTAGGACTTTTTTATGTTAAAAAGATGCTCTTCGTTTAGTTCGAAAGAGTGAACGGTTTTCAAGATATTTGCGTTTAAAAATTACGATGCATCGTTTTTAGCATTAGCGAAATCAGGATATTAGTTTATTTAAAATTTCTTTACATTTTTTCATTTCACTAATAAGGCTAATACTAAAATCGATGCATCGTAATATTTAAACGCAAATATCTTGAAAACCGTTTACCTTTTCGAACTAAACGAAGAGCACTTCTTTTAAGTAAAAAGTTCTAACTTTTTATATCATTTGTTGAAATTACTGTATCTATAAAGGTGCGTTTAGACTTAAGCACGCACGCACTGATCCTTCGCGAATGCTCAAGTGTAAACGGCTGTGCACCCACGCTCACTCTGAATCTGTATGTGCGCGAGCAGCCGTGGATGCGAGCCGTTTGGAGTCGGTGTTTGGTCGGTGCTCAAGGGGATTTTATGTGTTCGCGAACGCTCAGTTTGCACCGGTAATTTGCGTACGCTCACCAACATAACTCTGCTGTTCGCGCACTAGTAAGTGGATCACTTCATTCGTCGAAAAATAAGTTTTTAATTTGAACGGAGCCGAGAGCACGAACGAATGCCGTTCGCGTACGCTCGTGCGTGCTCTAAAAGTCTAAACACACCTTAAGGATAAAAGAAGTACCACCCAGTAGTAGTAGTACTCTGTACCCTAATGGAAAGTACCCTTTCAGGACTGTTACGGAATTTTTCACAATCGCGTTTTGCTAGAGTACAAAATTTCAGGAAAAAACGGTACACCAATATTCTTAAAAATAAACAAAATATTATTCAACATTTCTAGGGCTGTAACTTTTTCGGGAAGCATTTTAGGGCATATGTTCCTAGGAACTTTTTGTTTTATTTTTATCTGTAGAATCACCCACCAAAGTTAGATACAGTATTTTTTGACACCCTTTATAATATTATATATACAGGGTGGTCCGAACTGAATTCCGGAAACTTCGGCAGCATATTCTGCAGATAAAAATAAGTAAAAAATTCGTATAAATATATGTCCAAAAATGCTTAGTTTTGGAGATACAGGGGAGTTTTTTGACATGAGAAATTTGAATTTGTTGTCAATATGACTTGTAGAGGGCACCACATACATACTTTTTAACTGGTTTGAAGAGTAATAAATTCTCGTCCGTACCTGTATAAAAATACTGATTAAAAATATATACATTTACGACGTTTTTCACGTAAAAAAGGTAAAAAAGTCTCTTGGTAAATATCGCTACGAGTAATATGGTTCTCGAAATATTTGGAATCGAAATTATTAATACCTGTCATCATTGACATAAATTAAACATATACCTATATTGACTAAGTAGTTATTAGACTGAAATCATAAATTTGAAATGTTTTTGTTTCAAAAGTTCAACAGAAACTGTTTTATCACCATTTTTGCGCAGAAAGATTTATGATTAATTTAAAAAATAAAAAAAATCCAAATTTATTATTTCACTAATAACTATCTACTCAACATACTTATTTTTTGTGTTATAATAATGACATGTATTGATTATTTCCATTCTAAACATCTTGAGAACGGTTGCTTGTAGCGATTTTTACCAAGAGGCATTTTTACCTAAAAAGTTACGGAAATGTATATTTTTCATTCATTAGTTTTATACAGGTACGGACGAAAAGTTATTACTCTTCAAATCAGATAGAACACAAGTGGGTGGCGCCCTCTACAAATAGGAGTAATATTGACATCAAAATCAAATTTCTCATATCAAAAAACTCCCAGACACCAATTTTCATCCAAATATTGACGTTACTTCAGAAACTATTTGAAAAAAAAAACGAAATAAAAATGGAACTTTTACACCCTGTATCTCCGAAACTAAGCATTTTAGGACATACAAGAACTTTTTTACTCATTTTTATCTGCTGAATATGCTGCCGATGTTTCCCTAATACAGTTCGGGCCACCCTGTATACATTTTTAAAATTTTATCATATTTTTTAGTATCTTGGCGAAGATTTCTTTAATTATCCCGTTCAAAAAACTCTTAGTTTCATTTCTAGAAAAAGCCCTGTATATTTTTACGTGTTCTCGTACGAAGGACCGTCAAGTCAGAAGGCTTTAGCCGAATTGATAAAATTGAAAGAGAGAAAAATTAAAGGTGACGTCGTTGTGTGATAAAACAGCAGTAAAACCAGGTTTAAACCAAACGAATTTTAGGGGCTTGCCACAGCGAGGAAATATATTATTTATTTAACGGCTCTGTTTCCAGCAATTCTGATAAAAGGGACGCTATGGACACGCAGGTTTCCAGAAACATGATAAATATTTGGTCTAATTTTATTACCTATGGGTAATAACCAAGTGAAATAAACTTATTCCAGCTAATTTACGATATTTCTAGAAATCCCTCAACACCAGAGCTGGAAAATATCAGTTGGCCAACAGTAACAGATGATTATTTTCCATACGTCAGAATTGGATATAACTTGAAACTTATACATGAAAGTTACAACAAGAAAAACTATGAATTTTGGGAAAATATTTATAAGACTTTTTCTAATTAACAATTTGTATCTGTTAATGTGACTATTAAATGAAATAAATATAGACAATCCTCAATTTCTTTTGTGAATTTTATTTTTAAATTAAGGCCGCAATGAAATTTTGGGTTGCCTAAACGCAAATTATTGATCTTTTCGCCATCTCTGGGAGTCACACAAAACTTCTGCTCATCTTCTGCTTACAGAAATTTATTAAGAATGTTACAATCAAATACATTGTTCTTTAAAACTCTGTCAGACGTCTCGTAAATGAATTTTAAATTTTAATGTTTCTATTATCTATTTAATTTAAGTCTCCAAACAAATCATCTAAACCTATTTATTTTGAGACAAATAGGTCATAATTTATTTTAGGATTTCGGTAAGCATAATTGTCATTTAAGTCAATAACAGCTGATTGAACGCGAGTTTGACAACGACAAGCTTAGCATAATTTTAGAATTTTCAACAAATTCAAAATAAATTTTCGTTTCCAACCAGAACGAGAAATTGATCTCATATTAACATTCCCGATATTATTACGTAAGTTCGTAAGGACAATTCCAAGCCATGGAATGTGAGCGAGACATGGCAATTTATGTGGCTATTTGAAAATCAGTTGATTGGTGGTAATTTCATAAATTACTTGGTAAATAGAAAATTAGGCTTAAGTAGTATAAAACCAGCGGAGACGCAGTGAAAAAATTATGATTATTTTCTCATGAGGACTGTATAGTGAATTCCAGTTAGTTTATATTGGCATTTTCACAGAACTTTTTGATTTTTTGTGTTTTTGTTTGAAAAGATAAATTTCCTTTATTACACCAATTATTATTGTTTTCTACGATATATTTTATGATTGTCAATCAAATAACTATCAAATTACAATTATTAGTCTTTGGCTAATCCGCTATTCACAGAATCCAATTACTTTTGTGTGATAGCTAGATAACAACTTTTTATCACTATCCCATACGAAAAATATTTTAATTAAAGAGCGCTTTTATCGGAAAAGATTGTTGTACATTGTGTATATCGAAACTTTTTTATTAACTGGGGAATATCAATTTATTAGATAAATTTACACGGGTTAACATATTCATTATTACAACGTAAATGTGCTATCACAAGTGTTTGTATTAAGTTTTGTTTATAAAAGCCACCAGGGGAACTTGTATAGGTAGTAAGTAGGTTCTATTGCCGTTAGTTTGTGTAGTATTTTCCTTTATACAGCTTGTGACTTTACTTCACTATAATGTTAAAATATCAGACGTATGTATTTATTTAGTCAATTAAATAAAAGAGAGTGGTATACATAGAGTAATATTATTCAGTTATTATTCGAGACATAGACAATACTTGTTTAATTACACTATACTTCTGTTTATTAATAATTGTGTAATTTGTAATCATTAAAACATTAAAATTAATACTAGAAAGTATTTATTTTAACTTTAATTAATTTAATATTTATTAGTTAAACTACAATGGATTCTTTTATGTATTTATTAAAAATAATCCATGGATATAAGAGCTTGCCAAAACTATTTTTAATATAAGCAGTTGCTTTGAGTAATATTATTCATTCTTTAATATATTGAAATTTAGTAGTCCCTACAATAAATATGACAGATAATCAGGTATTTTTATTTCATTTTTCATACAGTTTAATTATAGATATTATGGTGTAATATAATTTAATATTATTTTTTTTTTAATTTTAGATATTCAATAATGGATAAATACATACTTGGTATAGATATAGGAACTACATCAGTGAAAGTCTGCATTATAAATACAAAGGATCACAATGTGGAAGCACAGCATGGAAAAGACACCCAGTCAAATATACCAAGCGATACAGGGTTTGGTGGCAACAAACAAGATGTATCCACTATTATTTCGGCTGTAAATTTGTGTGTGTCTAAACTACCCAAACAGTTGCTTCAGAAAGTAAGTACCTAGTAATTATTAATTATATTAAGTGCTATTTATGTGAGATTATTAAAAAATAATTATAACATCAAAATATTTATATGAAATGGTATACTAGGAGTAGTAAAAATTATGTTTATTAATATTTTTTTTAATTTTATGTGATTGAATAATGTTATTTTAATATGTTTACAAGCAATTTTTGCAAATGGTAGTTAATTTAAATAATTTTAATGTGAAATAAATGCACAATTTTTATACAGGGTGGCGCACCTCATTCGTCTCGGTTGATTATACGAAAAAGGAAAGAAAAATTTTAAGAACGTAGTTTAGAGGGCAGTGGCGGATACAGAGGGGGGGGCCATGGGGCCCAGGCCTCCCCTAAAATCTATAAATTGGCTCAAATATTAGGCTTTTGGGTTAAAAATGGCACCCTAAAAAGCATATTCTACATTACTTTTTATTTTGGGCCCCCCCTAAAATAAAGTCCTGTATCCGCCCCTGTTGGAGGGTACATATAAATATACAAAGGGTCAACAAATTCAGGAGGGACGTGCATATATATCATTGGAATATTTTTCTAAAAAAACGTGCGCCACTGGCTTTTTCCTCCCAGTAGCAACATTGTGTAGACCATTTAATGCCAATTAAAAGTTGTATCCACTTCCATCTCCTCGATAAGATAAATGCAATCTTATTAATCACAATTAATAAATGTAAAATAAAAATTTAAATAATAAATTATTTATTTAACGTAATTTATTAATAATATTTTTTAAAATTTATAATACTGATGTACAGTGCTATATACCTACAGCAAATTCCACCAAAAAACTAATGGTATTTAAGTTAATTACAAAAGGCCTATTTTTTAAATTTTAACATCCCGTAACTTTAAAATTGTGCATTTGTTTATAGGAACTTTTTTTCATAGTTTTTGATGAGGAATCAATGAGTACTTTTTTAACATTTTGGCAAGTTAATGACATTACATTTTTTTAATGGTTACTATTAGAATTGGATTAAGGCAAATTAATTAAATTGAGTTTATTGCATCAAAGGAGACCGAAATCAACAAAATATCAAGAGACAAATTTTAATAAGCACTTAACAGTCTACACAATTTTGCTACCAAAAGAAAAAAAGTCAGTGGCGTACATATTTTTTTTTTAGAAAAATATTCCAGTAATAACTCATATGCCCCTGGTAAATATGTCAACATTTTTTTAGCATTAAAATATGTCGCACTTATAGTAACTTATTACCCTCAAAATTCAATTCGAATCGCTAAAAGCACTTGGAAGGAAGAAAATTTGATAAAAGATAAATCGAAAAAAGGATGAAGATTTTAGCTCCTTGTAGGAACAAAGCAGAATGAAGAAGCTATGTTAATATTAAAAGTAAATCTTATGTTTACGGGAGGAATCTCGTTTTTGGACACACCCTGTATACATACATATTATGTTTTAAGGGAAATTATAAACAAGTTCTCAGAAAATGGGAAATAACAAGTTAGGCAAGCTCCAGGATGAAAAATAGATAAAATATGTTTCAAGGGGCGATATCCATTATTAGGAATTTATTTCATTTTCAAATGTTTATTTGAACACTTTATACAAGCATTTATAACGCAGGCATGTATAAGCAACTGAAAATTTATTTGATTTTAGCAAAATTAATTTTTCTATTTCATAACATATATACGCTTTCCAGTAGCTAAGATGTTTATGGCCTCCGCATTTTTGGAATTTGGGTGAAAATTATTTATTTTGTTATGCTTTACCGGCTTATCGATAAATAATCTAGATAAAAAGGAAATTTTAAAATAACTATCAGTAAAGGTTTTGGTGATGGAGTTTTGGAGAGAAAAAAAACTTAGATTTTGGAAAATAATTAACATATTTATGATTTTTTAATATTGATGAAACACATAATAGTGAATTTAGGCCAGTAAGCGAGAGTTTTAGGGTAGGAAATCTGAACACCTGCACCGATTGGCGTGAAATTTTAACAGTGAATAGAGATATATGTAAGAAACAAAAGTTACATAGTAGCGATGTGTGTTTTTACTCTGGGGTTGAGTGCCACCCCTTCTTGGGGTTGAAAAATAAATCACTCATTTTAATTGCAAAAATCAATAAAGGGATGAATTCTAAGCAATAAATGTATAACGTTTTTTCAGAAAATTAATTTTTTTCAAGTTATTTACGATTGAAAATGTTGATTTTTCATCTTAAAACTGCATATTTTTCTGCCATTTTTTATAAATAACTCGAAAACCTTGCGTTTTATCGCAAAACTCATCCAAAGCAAAAATGAGGCTTTTGTAATAACGAATCGATAAATTTTTGTTGATTATCGTAGGTGTAATAATAGCCGAGTCTAAAGGTGATTTTTTATTTTTCGAAAACTAAATTGCATAACATTTTACCGTAAATTAATGGCGAAAGAACACATTTTTCGAAGAAAATGGATATGACTGTTTTTAAAGCGCTTGAAAAGACTTTTTAAATGCTTTTTAAAAAAGTCTCTAGCTCAAAAACTCGCAAAGTTATGATAAAAATAAAATGGTCACCTCATTTCATTATATCAGAAAAAAATTAACAACAAAATCTATGATTAAAATCATAAAAATAAAAACTAAGTGTAATACATATACCTACAGTTGGCTATATTTACGTACTAACAATGGGCTCTGCAATGACTCTGCACATTCGAGCGGTTTAGAATGCTAAATTTGGAAAAAAGTTGAAAATAATGAAAAAAAAATATTTTTTATTTTTTAAAAAAATTTAATTTTTTTAACGTATCTCAAAAACTAAGCAAGATGCGTAAAAAATGCAACAGAGTAAAATTGAAGGCCTTTATTTTTGAAATATTTTTGCTTTCTTTCAATTTTTTCTGTAGACCTCTTTATTTCGTAGATATTACATTTTTTGGTTTGACTTGTGTGTAAGGGCCACCTTCTTTGAGCCCTTAAAACCCAAAAATCTCGTAAAAATGAAGAGTTCAAGACTGTTCAATTATAGAGGTTAATTTGTAGCTCATGTAATTTCCTATAAATGGATAGTTTTTATCTCGGTTTTTATTTTTATAATTATTTTAGTCATAGATTTTGTTGTTAATTTTTTTTTTCGAAAAAAAGAGGTGACTATTTTATTTTTAACAAACTCCGCGAGTTTTTAAGCTACAAACTTGAAAAAACCTTTTATAAAAGCATTTAAAAGGTCGTTTCAAGCACTTTAAAAACGGTTATATTCAGCTTCTTCGAAAAATGTGCTATTTCGCCATTATTTAACGATAAAAGGTTGCAATTTTTTTTATTTTCGAAAAATAAAAAATCATCTTTACAGAGTGATAACTCGGCTATTCTTACACCTTACGGTAATCAACAAAAAATGAATCGATTCGTTATTCCAAAAGCTTCATTTTTGCTTTATATGAGTTTTGCGATAAAACACAAGGGTTTCAAGTTATTCATAAAAATTGGCAGAAAAATATGCAGTTTTTAGATGAAAAATCAACACTTTCAACCCTAAATAACTAGGAAAATATTAATTTTCTGAAAAATTGTTACAGAACATTTTTTGCATAGAATTCAGCCCTTTATTGATTTTTGCATATAAAATTTGTGATTTATTTTTCATCCCCGAGAAGGGGTGGCACTCACCCCCAGGGTGAAAACAAACATCGCTACTACGTAACTTTAGTTTCTTACATATATCTCTATGCACTGTTAAAATTTTACGTCAATCGATGCGGGTGTCTAGAATTCGGAGGTAATACTCTATTTGTATCCTCGCTTACTGGCCTATTTTTTAATAATAATAATAGCTCCCGTATATAGCGTTTAACGCCTAGGGAGTAGCAAGGTACAGCTTGCCATGCTAGAGCCGTTCGGTATACAAGGAAGGTAATGTGGCTAGCACTACGCTTCAACCGCCTAGTATTACTTCAGGGTTGTGAATCCTAAGTACTTATTTAAGGCAGATTATTATCAGTGGCTAGAACTGTTTATTATGCACTTTTTGAGTCGCACCTCAGGTATGCCCTTCCATTCTGGGGTACGTGTTGTGCGACTCAATTTGACCGCATTTTCAAGCTCCAGAAGAGAGCTGTTCGATATTCACTAGGACTAAACAGCAGAACTCATTGCCGGGCCTTTTTTAAGGAATTAAGAATATTGACTCTTCCTTCCTTATTTATATTTGAATCCGTTTGCCTAATACGTAAACATGTATCAGCTTCTCAAGAAAGGCCATCTCACACTTATCCACTCAGGAACGCGGAGCAAGATCTTTATCTACCTACCCCACGCTCAGAGTTAGTTAAAAGTTCAATATTATACAACTCGAAAAAAATGCACAATCACCTGCCATTTGAAATCAAATCCATAACATCATTTTTTTCATTTCGCAAAGCATTGAACTCTTATTTACTAGACAAGGCTTTCTACGCCGTAAATGAATTATATTTGAATTGAAAATCGAATTTGATCTTGAAAACACTGGTCTAATGTTTGCTATTGCTATATTTACTAATGACATCGAAATTAATTTATTTAGAGGTCATTGATATTTTGCTATAAACTGGCTAAATATTTTTGAATATTATTTTAAATTTTTTGTTCTTTGGCATTGTAAACATTTATAAATGTTTATTTTAACAATAAGACTGACAATATTATTTATATAATGTTTTGTATTATCTTTTGTTTGTTTGTTTGTGTACCTTGTTATTTTTCTACTTTGTTTGTTAGTTTACCTTTGTCTACAAATTGAAAAATTTTTTGACAATAAAGGCATTTATTTATTTATTTATTTATTTATTTAAGGCTGAGTCGACCTAGGTACCCAAACTATTTTTATTTTTAAATCTTTAATAAAAATAGTCGGCTGATGAAATGCCGGGTGTAGGATTCGAACCCACACCTTGAGATTGGTAGACGAGAGCCTGTACCTCTACGCCACCGGGCACCTGCCTATTTTAATAATAATAATAATAAATTCGAGGTTTTATACCCCACTGGCAAGCGAAACCTTGGGTCGCCGTAGGTGTGTTTTGATTGCTGTTACCGAATAAAAAAATAAAAGCAGCTGTAAAAAAATTAAGAAATGCTATATTTGTAGAATTCGAATTCCGTACACCTCGATCCCGAAACGACCGCCTTACCAATGCAGCCACAGCTGCTTTTGAATAATAATAATAATAAATTCGAGGTTATATACCCCACTGGCAAGCGAAACCTTGGATCGCCGTAGGTGTGTTTTGATTGCTGTTACCGAATAAAAAAATAAAAGCAGCTGTAAAAAAATTAAGAAATGCTATATTTGTAGAATTCGAATTCCGTACACCTCGATCCCGAAACGACCGCCTTACCAATGCAGCCACAGCTGCTTTTGAATAATAATAATAATAAATTCGAGGTTATATACCCCACTGGCAAGCGAAACCTTGGATCGCCGTAGGTGTGTTTTGATTGCTGTTACCGAATAAAAAATAAAAGCAGCTGTAAAAAATTAAAGAAATGCTATATTTGTAGAATTCGAATTCCGTACACCTCGATCCCGAAACGACCGCCTTACCAATGCAGCCACAGCTGCTTTTGAATAATAATAATAATAAATTCGAGGTTATATACCCCACTGGCAAGCGAAACCTTGGATCGCCGTAGGTGTGTTTTGATTGCTGTTACCGAATAAAAAAATAAAAGCAGCTGTAAAAAAATTAAGAAATGCTATATTTGTAGAATTCGAATTCCGTACACCTCGATCCCGAAACGACCGCCTTACCAATGCAGCCACAGCTGCTTTTGAATAATAATAATAATAAATTCGAGGTTATATACCCCACTGGCAAGCGAAACCTTGGATCGCCGTAGGTGTGTTTTGATTGCTGTTACCGAATAAAAAAATAAAAGCAGCTGTAAAAAAATTAAGAAATGCTATATTTGTAGAATTCGAATTCCGTACACCTCGATCCCGAAACGACCGCCTTACCAATGCAGCCACAGCTGCTTTTGAATAATAATAATAATAAATTCGAGGTTATATACCCCACTGGCAAGCGAAACCTTGGATCGCCGTAGGTGTGTTTTGATTGCTGTTACCGAATAAAAAAATAAAAGCAGCTGTAAAAAAATTAAGAAATGCTATATTTGTAGAATTCGAATTCCGTACACCTCGATCCCGAAACGACCGCCTTACCAATGCAGCCACAGCTGCTTTTGTAACCAGGCTATATCTATGTATTACTTAATTCCGCCGCTCCACCAAAAACAAATACTCATGCGGAACTGCTGGTTGTAAAGTTGCACGGAACATTGACAATTTAAATATTATTTGTCCAAAGAATTAAACAAATATTTTTTTCTAGAATTAATTTTGATTAAGTAATTGTTTTTACGATTAATAAGATTAACTATGTTTTTACTTGCGCCATATTATTTTTATTTAAAAATATCACATTCGATTGCTTTCACGAATATTGTTCCGCTATGACGAAAAGAGTTAAAAGTATGTGTACTTTATCAACATTTTTATATTAATTATTAATTATAATTAAATCATCACACTCCAAATATGTACATTTATTTATATCCTAAATTTTATTCAATCTCCAGAGAGAATATTGCAAAATATACAAGTACAATATGTATAGAACTATTCTATACCTATTGTGTTTTTTAAATCAATTTTAAATACCAATTTCGTTAAAGTATATGTTGTTGTTAGACAATTGTTTTCAACACAATTGACATGGACTCGCTAATTTTATAATTAGTGATTTTATAGATAATTATTAAACGACCCGTTTCAAATGGTGTAGTAAAATATTAAATTAACAGTTTAAGTTATTTATTTAATGCAAGGTAACTAAATTAAATATCCTTTGTTTGTATGGAGAAAACGACATTTAAACAGAAATGTTAAAAATACAGTTAGGTGGATATTTAATCGTAATATACAGGGTGAGTTTTCTACGAGGTTCTCTATGGGTATCTCGGAAACTACTGGAGATAGAGACTCGGTTAAATGGGGAAAGAATTGCAGTTTTGTGGGGTCATAAATATGCGCCTTTCAGATTTTTGAAAAAGTTCATGGCTTACTAGATATTTCGAAAAAAACAAATTTCGGCTATTTTAAAAATTGTTCCTAATTTCATTATAATCTATTTTAGACAAAAAGTTTTCAGATAAAAGTTGTAAATAATCCTTAATGAGACTGTGTTCTCCGTTTCTTTCTAAAACTTGTCATTTTTGACATATGACACAAACTTTTTTTTTACGACTAAAAGAATAATATATAGGGTATTCCATTTAAAAAAAAACAGTAAAATTATTTTATATTTTAGAAAGTCTGACGTAAACTCGGGCGTAAAATTTTGAACATCCTGTATGATTTTTAATTACCATATTTATAGCAGAGTTAAGTGCAGACTATCTAAAGGAAATACATATCTCATACAGTTTTGATTTCAGGACAGTTCTTGTATTTTTAATATTTTTTTAAGGCTCAAAAATATGTATTTTTTATTTATTAATGTCTCTGAAACTATCGCAGTATATTTAGTCATATCTTAGGATTATTTTATTTATTTATTTATTTATTTATTTACTCATTACAAACACCTATTGAGGTAGCTACATGCAAAGGCCTAAAGAAAACAAATACAATAATTACAATTACTTAAAACTAGACATGTACGACAAAAGTACATAAAAATAATATAAATAAAACATATATAATAATAAATAAAGTAAATAAGTAACAAAGTACATAACATTTAATTTATAAAATGTGCAATAAAAAAAAACAATGAAACCTATCACACCAGATTTGTCTCCTGATGCACCAACAAGATGCGCCTAAGTTCGCCAAACTTAATGCTAAACATATCGGGAATTCTGTTCCCAGACAACATATCTTAACAAATTATGTGAAGTGATCTGAAAAAAAGCCCAAAATGCAATAGTATACAGGGTGTTCCATTTAAAAAAAAAATCATTCCGATCCACCCACACTTTTTTGAGCCAGCCTATAGAAGTTAAAATATTTTCCTAGAATACATCCTAGAACATACTTTAGATATGCACTTTCTTTCGCAACAAAATTCTTAAGTTTGGTATTCTAGGAGCTACAGATGCCCGACGCATTATTGCCGGACCCTGTATACGAGTACTACTTTACCTATTATATTTAGTTAAAAATTAAATTAACTATATAGAAATGTTAATATTTTTTAAGGTTAGTGGAATTGGATTATGCGGCCAGATGCACGGGATCATGTTCTGGAAGAACGACAACGATCAGAAGGCTTGGGAAATCGTGGGAAAAGAGAAAAGTGTAAGATTCGATGTGGTAAAAGACCGAGTTTCAGCTCTGTACACCTGGCAAGACAACCGATGTGATCCGGCATTCCTAGCCTCCATTCCAGCGCCTCAAAGTCATCTCCGAATCGCTTCTGGATTTGGGTGTGCCACCTTGTTTTGGATGGTCAGGAATAAGTATGTCTTTTTTAATTGTTTTTGTGTTTTACCATTTAGAGCTCCACAGATGCTCAGTTCTTTAGTATAGGTTGACTGTGCAGCTAGGTTAGTTTTCGCAATTTAACTTGTACAGGGTGTCCCACTAAGAATAGCTCTCGGCTGTATCTCGGAAAGTATTAGTCGTAGAGCTTGAGGGAAAAAATATTTATAACTAAAGAGAGCATGAGAAATTGCTGGAAATTATTTTCAAGTTTGTATAGCGGCCGCTAGAGGGCGCAACTGCTATTAAAAATAAGAAAACGGAGTTTTTACACAATTTTGCCTAGATAACGGTTACTATAAATAATAGATTAATAATCTTCAGTAAATTTTTCACATTTTTTGTTAAACCATTTTCCCTTATCTACCAAAATAAAGTGGTGGGGGGAGGTTAAATCTGTTTTTATATAAGTATTAATAACTCCGGACTGGATGATCGGAATCCAACAAGCTAGGGCTCGTTTAAAAGAGCGTTTCTTACTCTATATTGTACCATATAAACAATAATAATAAGCTTTTGAACGTAGACGCTAGGGGGCGTTGTCTTACAATTTAACAAACATTACACATTTTTTCAAAAAAATTAAATGCGATAGTATATGTAATTTTAGCTGATAGTAAAGAGTAATAAAAGCTTAAAAAGTCAGCGAAAACCGCATATGGATATCCTCTTTCAAACCGAAGATATTAGCAAAATTATAATAAATACGAAAAAATAGGCCCTTAATTACCTTATTTTTTTAACACGGTTACAGTAGCCCTCTTGATTATGACCATTCTAATAAAAAATAAGATAGAAACGATTGCTTTATGCTAAAATTGACAATATACCAGAATACGATAATACCAGATGTATTAATATCTAATAATTAATATATCAATGACAGTGAATAAGAAACGACGCCTCAGTGAAGTCATGGTAGGCTTTAGAAAAAAGACGCTTTTGACGTAATAGTATAAACATCAAAGAGTGTTATTAAATCAACATTTTGATAGTCTTAGCAGCGTTTTTGTTTTCTTTTGAAGAAAGGCATTTTTAGAAAAGCAATCAAAAGATAAAAAACGCTCCTGAGACTATCAAATTGTTGATATAATAATATTTTGAGTTTAAACTGTCTTTTTAAAAGCAACTTTTTTCCAAAGCCTACCATGAATTCACAGAGGCGTCGTTTCTTAGTTACTTTCATTGTTATCTTAACTATTAGATATTAATACACCTAGTATTATTGTATTCTGGTACGTTGTCGATTTTTTGAATGAAATAATCTTTTTTATCTTATTTTTTATTAGAATGGTCATAATAAAGAGGGCTAGGGATACCGTGTTAGAAAGATAACCTTATCTTTCAAAATAAAAAAAATAAGTCCTTAATTACCTAATTAAGGACTTATTTTTTCGTATTAATTATAGTTTTGCTAATAACTTTCGTTTGAAGAAAGATATCAAGATGCGGTTTTCGCTGAATTTTTAAACTTTTATTACTCTTTAGTATCAGCTAAAATTACATATACTATCGTATTTAACTTTTTCGAAAAAACGCGTAATGTTTGTTAAAATGTAAGACAGCGCCCCCTAGCGCCTACGGTCAAATGCTTATTTTTATTTTTTATATGGTATAATATAGAATAAGAAACGCTCTTTTAAACGAGCCCTCACTTGTTGAATTCCGATCAACCAGTCCGGAGTTATTAACATTTAAATAAAAATAGATCTAACCTTCCCCCACCACTCTATTTTAGCAGATAGGGGAAAATGGTTCTAACAAAAAATATGCAAAAATTACTGAAGATTATGAATCTATTATTTATAGTATCCGTTATCTAGGCAAAATTGTGTAAAAACTCCTTTTTCTTATTTTTAATAGCAGTTGCACCCTCTAGCGGCCGCTCTGCAAACTTGAAAATAATTTCCAGCAATTTCTCATGCTCTGTTTAGTTATAAATATTTTTTTTCCGCAAGTTCTACGACTAATACTTTCCGAAATACAGCCGAGAGCTATTCTTGAGGGACACCCGGTACTACTGTCTTTCGCACATACAAGCAGTTTTATATCACAGTTATCTCTACAGTGAACTGAGGATACACCAATAGTTTCAGAACATTTTTTTTACTGTGTAGAATGTAGAATGTTTAGGAGGGGAGTTAATCACCGCAACCTTACAGATCTATTGTGTGCTCCACTTTCTTGAGTTATAACGAGTTATAACTCATCATACAGTTTCAAGGCTTTAACAAAAGCCAGTATCTGAAACGGCTCCACAGGGGCCAGCTCTCTATCCTCGACATCAGCCGTACCAAAGTTCATGGCACGAATGGTCGTCGTCTCGGCCGCACTCAGTGATAAGGTGTACTGATGTTTCCCCATTTTCCCCACAGAATCTGCATTCGCCGTTGTTTCTCAGCTTCAGCCTACTGAGGTGTTCGTTGAGGAGACAGTGTCCTGTTAGAAACCCCGTGACAATTCGAAGATTGTTTTTACTTAAATAAAGGGAAACCTTTGATTTTTCTCGCTCGTAAGTTCTGAGGAACTTTTTCGAGCGTCTTAGACCGTTGGAGGACACCCATTCCAAGTTACGGTTCCGGTTACTTCCAGATTCTTTTTTTATTTTTTTACTGTGAATATTCCTGAGATACAGTTCTGTCTCGCATTTTGTTCGCTTGGGTAATAAATAATTTTTTTGATTTCTGCCACTGCACTTCCCAAGTAGCACAGGAAGGACAAAAAACCATTGACCACGGAAAATTAACCACTATTTGGTTGAATTTTACTTATATTGAACTTAATAAATTTCTTGTAGGGAATAAAGTGCGAGGAATCTAAAAATAAGGTCGTAAACTAGTTAATAATAACCTAAAATTATGCCTTTTAAAAGTAGCAACGTTGGAGTTAGCTGGCATTGTTAAAATCTAGTTACTGATAACCTATTGAGGGCATTAAGACTACAGGGACTTAAAGTAGGTCAAATGTTACTTTATTATAACCTCAAATTTGCTTCGGGGGTCGAAGGCATTGTTTGGTTTTCAAGTTAGGTTAAAATTTAGTTGTTAATAACTTTAAATGGGACCTTATTTGGAGGAGTTCAAATTAGGTTGAACATTTAATTTATTTCGACCTCATATTATGCTTCAAAGGTAAAAGTAACTTAGTTTTTTGCCTTGGAAGAATGTCAGACATAAGGCAGGTTAAAAATTACCTTTTTTAATTTCCTCGGGGTGATTTCCGTTTAAAATAGTTTTTGAGGGATTATTACATCATAGCACATTACCTTCTTCCCACTGGTGGGGAGCGAAAGAATATTCAATGCGTTTTTTTTATTACCGACACAATCTTAAACGTGTCCATTATGTGCAGTAAAAACCAAAATATAATAACACTGAGAATCCCAAAACACAAAACTTTTAAAAATAATAAGCAAAGAAAGCTCAGTTGGTTTTCTAGTTAGTTAGTGTTCTAGTTTAGGCCAGTTCGGTAATTGCATCGGCCAGCAAAAGGATATAAAGTTGACATGTCACGTGACTCTCAATAAATATTGTCATTTTAGGACACATGATTACTGTGAAAAGTTAATCGGATTGCTCGAAGATGTAATTACCGAACTTAGCATAAAATATCATTGTCAACTATCACTGAAAGAAAATCAAAATTTTCTGTTTTCCAGCGATATTCCAAAAGTCAGGCTTTCGAGAAGTGAGCTTCGTCCTAATATAGCCCACCTTTTAACTTGCACCTCCAAGGAAAAATACCTTAAGCAAGAAATCTTGACCTTTGAGGTTATTAATTTAAAGAAATCTTAACCTCATAAAAAGAAAGCGGACTTTAAGGTTTTAAAAATTATGGAAAACTTAACTTCATAGACGAAATAAAAACACCATTAGCGGCCATTTTCTTATCCAATTTGTTTTCAAAAAATATTTTTTTGTGATATTGTTCTAAACTATTGAGAAAAATAAACAGACGTTTATGAATAATAGTACCTACCACAAGTTAAATTAACTAATTAAGAACTTTAAAAGTGTTAGGTTGGAAGTGTTAGTAGAAAGTTAGTTGAAAAAAGTTAGGTTAGATCGAGGGGTAAACACCTGTGGATTTCTGGTGTACACCTATATGGATTTCCGTGGATTTCCATGGATGTCTGTGATTTTTGTGGATTTTCATGGATGTCTGTGGATTTCCATGGATGTCTGTGGATTTCCGTAGATTTCCGTGGATTTCTGTGGATGTCTATTAGATATCTGTGGATTTCTCTAGATGTCGTTAGTAGATTTCCTGACCAAAATGTGTACTCCAGAAATCCACTTTTGATAAATAAATCCAAGGAAATCCACAGAAATCCAAGGAAATCCACAGAAATCCAAAGAAATCTAAAGAAATCCATAGAAACCTACAGAAATACATATAAATCTAAAGAAATCTAAAGAAATCCAAGGAAATCCACAGAAATACACAGAAATACACAGAAATCCAAAGAAATCTAAAGAAATCCACAAAAATCCACCGAAATCCAAAAAATATTAGAGTGCATTTTAAATAGTAATATAATAATATAAAGTCGATATAGTATATGTCAGGAGATTTCAATATGACATATGACCAAATTAATAAAAAAAAATTAGAGTGAGTTTTTTATGTGAATAAACGTCTATTTCACTTACTATTAATATTATGCGGTGATTAGTGTTAGTTTAAACGTCAAAATGAAATAAAAAGTAATAGACTTGGGACCATTTAAGCTGCAGTTTGACAGAATTTGTTATATAGTAAGTCATTAACACAAAGGTCCTGTTGTTTTTGTTCTTCTTTTTTTTTGTTATTATATTCGTTGTGTCCTCCTAGTATACTATAAAAATATCCTTATTTGTTAAATATGAAATAAAACTATTTCAGTATACAGTGAAAGTAGTATAGTATATACAGTATACAAAGTTGCCGATTTGTTCATTCAAAGAGACCTTTGTATTAATGACTTACTATATAACAAATTCTGTCAAACTGCAGCTTAAATGGTCCCAAGTCTATTACTTTTTATTTCATTTTGACGTTTAAACTAATACTAATCACCGCATAATATTAATAGTAAGTGAAATAGACGTTTATTCACATAAAAAACCCACTCAATTTTTTTATAACTTTGGTCATATGTCATATAGAAATCTCCTGAAATATACAATATCCACTTTATACTCGACTTTATATTATTATATTACTATTTAAAATGCAACCTAATATTTTTTGGATTTCGGTGGATTTCTGTGGATTTCTTTAGATTTCTTTGGATTTCTGTGTATTTCTGTGGATTTCCTTGGATTCCTTTAGGTTTCTTTAGATTTCTGTGTATTTCTGTGGATTTCTGTGTATTTCTTTAGATTTCTTTGGATTTCTGTGGATTTCCTTGGATTTATTTATCAAAAGTGGATTTCTGGTGTACACATTTTGGTTTGATCCTTGAAAGTGACGATTTATTCTAAAATGAATTGTTGAAAATACATAAAATTTTAATGGCGCATAATTTTTTAGGGCCTATCATATTTACATCTCACAGAAAATTTTTTTCCGCAGACATAATTATCTTGCGAATCCTGTAATCCACTTTAACTTTAACCACAATTACTTTAGTTTTATTTCCCACTTTGGGAATTTTAACGTCAATCCTTGGAAATTTCGACCAATTTGCAGTTGGTCAATAATAGTCCAGGTGGTTATTTTAACGTAATTTTACCTTCAAATCTTTGTTGGGTTCTTACTTTTTATTTTGAATAGACATGGCAAACTTTTACATAATTCGATAAATTGACATAAAAAGAGTTTATTTAAGTTCGACAATTTTATTTCAAGTTTAAACTGAACTTTGTTTATGGTCTGAATAAAAATAAAATGAACGAGCACACACACGTTCAGGCTTCGAAGTTTGTGCAGGCCAAATTCAGGAGGCTGATTTCTCGCAGGTCAGACCAACCGCCTGCATATTTATCCGAAAGTTCCCACACACGTGCCGATAGGCTTGTACAAATAAGGTTTGCACAGGCCTGTGCGATATAACTGAAATACTGAACTGGATTTCTTCAAATATGAACTCTGAGAGTAAAACACAGGGTGGTCCGAACTGTATTCCGGAAACTTCGACAGCATATTCTGCAGATAAAATAAGTAAAAAATTTCATATAAATGTATGTCCTAAAATGCTTAGTTTCGGAGATACAGGGTGTAGAAATTTCATTTTTCGATTTTTTTCCAAATAATTTCTGAAGTAACGTTAATATTTGGATGAAAATTCGTGTCTGGGAGTTTTTTGACATGAGAAATTTGATTTTGATGTCAATATGACTCCTATTTGTAAACGGCACCATCCTTGGGCACCGCCTACATATTTTTTACCTAGTTTGAAGAGTAGTAACTTTTCTTCCGTACCTGTATAAAACTACTGAGTAAAAAAGTATACATTTACGATGTTTTTTGCTTAAAAAGTCTCTTGCCTGTGATATTATTGGCGTAAATTAAACATTCAACATGACATCAGTGACATAAATTAAACATGTGGACTAAATAGATATTAAACTAAAATCATAAATTTGAAATGTTTTTGAGCCAAAAGTTCAACAGAAACTTAACAGATTAATTTAAAAAAAAAATAAAAAAGTTCTCAAATTTATCATTTCATTCAAATAACTATCTACTCAACATGTTTATTTTATGTCAATAGTGACATATATTGACTATTTCCATTTTAAATATCTTGAGAACGGTTGCTCGTAGCGATTTTTACCAAGAGACATGTTTTACATAAAAAATCATAGAGAGTTCGTGCACAAATAATATATGCTTTCATTTTCAAATTTTTCAAATGTTGATTTTAAGTAGTGTGTTTTTTAGAGGTAACAATTACCTTAATTCACTTACCACAAATAATAGGCATTACTTAAACATACTTTTCTGTTTTTATTTAGACCAGAAAAACTGAAGAAGTACAACTGCGCAGGCACAATTACTGACTTTGCTATTGCCATCTTGTGTAATCTGGACAAACCAGTGATGGCCAATCAAAATGCGGCCTCTTGGGGATATTTCGACTGCAAAACCAACTCCTGGAACACAGAATTGTTGAAAGGATCGGGATTTCCAGTAGATTTACTCCCAGATATTAGGGATACAAGTCAATTGGCTGGTCGTTTGGTTGACAGTTGGCATGGCATACCTAAAGGAACACCTATTGGTAAATTAGCAGTTACTCCTATATTTTTTTCAAACATTCAAATGTCTTTCAATATGGTTTTCTATATAAAAATATTATAAAGTGACAGTTGTTTGTCGTTGTGATTAAAAACTAGATTGATTTTTCAGTCCTTTTTTGGTTTGGTTTGGTTTGTTTGGTCTTTCTCTTTATCTCTTTTTTTTTGAAAATGCTGTTATCAAATGATAAAAGAGTTGCATGAGATATGCATGAGAGATATACGTTGCGATTTTGATTCCTTTGATGTGCTAATCCCGATTAAGATCTGGTAAAAAATATTGAATAGGCCACTTCTAAATTAAATATGTTCCTGTCAAACATATTTCCAAATTAGTATATTTATTATTTATTATCTAAAAAATGTATAATTATAATTATTTAAATAATAATGAATAATTTTATTAACTAGCTACCGTCATCATACCACGTTGTCTTCTAGCAAGACAATAGAATGTGGAGTACCACAAGGCTCAGTACTAGGCACTATGTTGTTTCTTCTTTTTATTAACGACATTGCTAACATAAACATCAGTGGTAAAATATGTCTTTTTGCGGACGACACTAGCTTCACTTGGAGTAACAAGGACGTCACTGCACTTCATAGGATTATATCAAATGACCTAATCACCATTAAATCTGGGTGCGATTCGAACCTCCTGAGTCTCAACATTTCTAAAACTAACGCTTTGTCGTATAAAAACTCGCTGCAGCCTTTTGTACTTAACAACACCACCATTGACGTCGTAAAATCTGTAAACTTCTTAGGGCTTGTTGTAGACAATTCTCTGAAATGGGACATACATATCGACGCTTTGTCGAAAAAATGAAGATCTGCCTGTTTTGCATTAAGATCTGTTTCTAAGGAGCTTAACTTTTCAGAGTGGCTAGAACTGTTTATTATGCAATTTTTGAGTCGCACCTCAGATATGCCCTTCCATTCTGGGGTACGTGTTGTGCGTCTCAATTTGACCGCATTTTCAAGCTCCAGAAGAGAGCTGTTCGATATTCACTGGGACTAAACAGCAGAACTCATTGCCAGGACTTTTTTAAAAATTAAAAATATTAACTCTTCCTTCCTTATTTATATTTGAATCCGTTTGCCTAATATGTAAGCATGTATCAGCTCCTCAAGAAAGGCCATCTCACACTTATCCGCTCAGGAACGCGGAGCAAGATCTTTATCTACCTACCACACGCTCAGAGTTCGTTAAAAGTTCAATATTATACAACTCGAAAAAAATGCACAATCACCTGCCATTTGAAATCAAATCCATAACGTCATTTCGCAAAGCATTGAAATCTTATTTACTAGACAAGGCTTTCTACACCGTAAATGACTTATATTTTGATAATCGAATTTGATATTGTAAACACTGGTCTAATGTTTGCTATTACTATATTTAACAATGACATCGAGGTAAATTTATCTAGAGGTCATTGATATTTAGTATAAACTAACTAAATATTTTTCAATCTTATTTTTATTTTTTTGTTCTTTGACATTGCAAACATTTATAAATCTTTATTTTAAACAATAAGACTGACAATGTTATTTTATAATGTTTTGTATTCTCTTTTGTTTGTTTGTTTACTTTGTTTGTTTACTTTACCTTTGTCTACAAATTGTAAAATTTTTTGACAATAAAGGCATTTATTTATTTAAACCGTATGATCGAAAAAAACAGCGTCCAGTTGGCTTGGAAATAACGATCGATGACATTGCCTATATAATTTTACATCTAAAATGACAGCGAACTTTATTTTATAGCCATCGCTGTTCGCTGTTTTGACAGTGGTAGCATAAAAATATAATAAAAAAAGTTAAAGGCTAGGATCAAAATATAGTTATCATTAGGATATTAATGTTTATCATTAGGAATGGGCTACGGAGATATTCAATGTTCTGTTTTATCCACCTTGGAAAACCCATCAGACGCAGTCTTGAATATATCAACATCAGCTCAAATCACTTTTGTAGCTGAAAATTATATCCCTCCAGTAGGACCTCCAACTCAATCTTCTGTTGATTATTTTCCATACTTTAATAATCAATATATCGCTATTGCCGCGTCTCTGAATGGCGGAAACAGTTTGGCAACGTTCGTGAAGATGTTGCAACAGTGGACGTTGGAGTTGGGATTCAGTGTACCTCAATGTAAGTACCGCAGTTTATTAGACAGTTTGTATGAATTCATTAATGTATAGTCCGATTCACGAAAAAAGATAATTGCACCAGAATAATTTTATTTATAAAATATACAGGATGTGTCAAAACAAATAACAAAGACTTATTTTCTATATCAACATAGTTCCGATTCTGCTTTATAACGTAGATACAGGGGGTTTAATTTTTTTTTTTCGATATATTATACAAATTATGTAATTTTCTTCCAAGCGCTTTTAGCGATTTGAATAACATTTTGAAGGTATAAGTTACTATAAGTTCGACATATTTTAATATTAAAAAGTGTCGACAGATTTACCAGGAACGTGCATATAACTTATCACTGGAATAATTTTGTAAAAAAAAACATGTGGACCACTGAATTTTTTTCTCTTGTTAGCAAAATTATGTAGTAAACCGTCTACATAATTTTGCTATGCGGATTAAAAGTTGTCTCTTGATTATTTCATCTCCTTGATGAGAAAAATGCAATTTTAGACCTATATATAATCTCGAGGGGTGTCTCACTCGGGTAAAAAATGTACACGTACTGCCAAAATATCCTTCCACTGTTAAGCGACTGCCAATGACTATGAAGAAGACTGGCTATGACTGCCATGTAATTATTATAGGCCACTGCCATAAGACTGCCAATAACTGCCAGCGACTGCCAAGAAAATGTACAGGTAATTCCAATAGTGAGACACCCCTCGTATAATATCTCTGGTGAATCGGTCAACACTTTTTTAGCATTAAAATATGTCGCACTTACTCTCCAAATTTCATTCGAATCACTAAAAGCACTTGGAGGAAAATTATAATAAATCGAAAAAAATTGAAAATTTTCACCCTCTGTAGCTATGAAAAAGGCATAATCCAACCAATATTTAAACGTGTTATACTCAGACAACTTTCTAATTTAACGACATTGCTAACATAAACATCAGTGGTAAAATATACCTTTTTGCGGACAACACTAGGTTCACTTGGAGCAACAAGGCCCTCACGGCACTTTATAGGATTATATCAAGTGACTTAATCACCATTAAATCTTGGTGCGATTCCAACCTCCTGAGTCTCAGCATTTCTAAAACTAAAGCTTTGTCGTATAAAAACTCGTTTTAGTCTTTTGTACTTAACAACACCACCATTAACGTCGTAAAATCTGTAAAATTCTTAGGGCTTGTTGAAAATTTTGTGAATTCTCTGAAATGGGACATGCATATCGACGCGCTATGCTATGTCGAAAAAATTAAGCTCTGCCTGTTTTGCATTAAATTTGTTTCTAAGGAGCTTAACTTTCAGTGGCTAGAACTATTTATTATGCACTTTTTGAGTCGCACCTCAGATACGCTCGTCTATTCTGGGGTACGTGTTGTGCGACTCAATTTGATCGCATTTTCAAGCTCCAGAAGAGAGCTGTTCGATATTCACTGGGACTAAACAACATAATTCATTGCCGGGACTTTTTAAAAAATTAAAAATATTAACTCTTTCTTCCTTATTTATATTTGAATCCGTTTGCCTAATACACGTAAGCATGTATCAGCTTCTCAAGAAAGGCCATCTCACACTTATCCACTCCGGAACGCGAACGATCTTTATCTACCTACCCCACGCTCAGAGTTAATTAAAAGTTTAATATTAATTATCAACTCGAAAAAAATGCACAATCACCTGCCATTTGAAATCAAATCCAAAACATCATTTTCTTCATTTCGCAAAGCATTGAAATCTTATTTACTAAACAAGGCTTTCTACGCCGTAAATGACTTATATTTTGATAATCGAATCTGATGTTGTAAACACTGGTCTAATATTTGCTATTACTATATTAACTAAGTATTTTTGAATAATGTTTTTTTTTTATTCTTTGACATTGTTAACATTTATAAATGTTTATTTTAAACAATAAGACTGACGATGTAATTTGTATACTTGTTTTGTATTCTCTTTTGTTTGTTTACTTTACCTTCGTCTACAAATTGTAAAATTTTTTAGCTATAAAGGCATTTATTTATTTATAATTTATTGTATTTTGATGTAGGATGGAATTTTTCGACATGATTTTATGTCAGTTTTTAATAAATGAGATTTATAGGCCGACTCGACATAAAGTGTCATCAATTGTCATATCAAAAATCACTTTTACGCTGTTTTTTTTTCGATCGTGTAAAAATTAAAATTATAACTACTTAAATAAACTAGGAGTAATCAATCATTTTATATAAGTAAATTATTTAGTTGATATGGAATTTCAAAATAGCGATTCTTATCTAATGTTTGTCTACCTAATACACTGTCACATTACATTGAAATTATATAGAGGTTAATATGAATTGATGCTTGAAAAAAGTCGATGAGATTATCATTTTTTTAAGCGTTTTTTAAATTAATCTACCATTAAATCAGTTTTATTTTAGAATCTACAGAATGGCGCACCTCATTCGCCTCGGTTGATTATACGAAAACGAAAAGATGTAGAAACGAAATATTTTATGAGTATATGTGGGAAGGCAATGTGCACAATTTAAAATTATTTTGAAATGTACAGGGTGTTTTAGAACTAAGATCCATACCAAAGTTGTATTTTTTCTTATGGTGGCTAAATAATATATGGAATTTCTTGAACATGTCGATAAAAAAGTCGTTTAGAGTTTGTTTTTATCTCTATGTACCAATTGGTTTCATGAATATACAGGGGCATTAAAAATATCGTTTTTCGATTCTGCAAAAAAATAGATTTTATAAAAATCCTTGTAAAAGTTGATATTTTCTCAACATTATACGTAATATTATATCCTAAATAGCTTGCCTCTAGCTTTTTTTCGATATTTTGTCGAACGACATAACTTCAGTTTTTGTATTCTGTAGAGGATTTTTGTAATATGCTACAAACATTTTGACACACCTTGTAGATCTGTAGCATCACGTCTATTTAAAATACATCAAAATATAAAAAAATGGTCAAGGTGCGAGTCTGACTCGCTGCACCAAGGGTTCGCCGTAGCATTCATTATCTATGCAACATTTATTATTATAAACTTTTTTTTCCGACTTAGCTGAAATTTTGAATGCGCGTATAAGTAATTTAAAAAAAAAAATGAAGAAACACATTAAGTACTAAAAATTGTATTAATCAATAATAAATATGTAAAAAGTAAAAATAAATATGTAAAAATTAATATAAACGATTAAAAAGTCGCCTTGACTAGAATTCGAACCTTCCCCTTACTGCGGCTCCAACGTCATAGCAGCGTAAAGTCCTAACGCTTTAACCACGCGGCCACCGAGGACTTGAAAGATTCTATGTAAAATTCTTACTTAAAAAGATAATGTTTAGTGAAAATACTTTTTTATTTATAAACATTTATTTAATTCTGTTTTAGTATTTGCTCTTATAGCGGCTACATAGATACATTATCTGTAAAAAATTAACTGTCTAGCTGTAACGGTTCATAAGATAGCCCTTTGTGACAGACGGACGGACGTATAGCGAAGTCTTAGTAATAGGGTTCCCGTTTTTACCGTTGGGTACGGAACCCCTAAAAATTGATCACTTTGGAATTATTCGCAGAGACATCGCAAAAAACGTGATAATTTGAATTGTTATAGCAAGATGCTACAGGTACTACAAACTTATTGATCACTCAAGAGCATCAATAATGCAAATGCCATTTATTTCTGTATTTTATGTGATAAATCAACATTTTATAAAACAACAGTTTATTTAAAATCAAACCAAACATTTATTTTTGGAATATTATATTTTATAATATTCCAAACATTCCATTCCAATTCATAATAAATATTTTTTTTGCCATTTAACCGTATTACACCAAAATATTTTTTATAGCTGATGTGCAAATCAAACATGCTATTTAGAATGATTAATATATTATGTTTTGGTTCATCGTTCTTGTTTAATAAGAAATTTTAGTAGCATAGTTGGTATTATTTATTTTTAATTATTTCTAGCAAAGGTTTGGGAGAAAGTACTGGCTCTAAGTCAAGATGACAGTGCGGCATCCAATTTAGTTATAGTACCTACCTGCCTGGGTGAAAGACACGCACCTGAAGCTTATGGTTCCATACGAAATATAAATGTAGGAAATTTAGGACTAGGACAAGTTTTTAGAGCACTCTGTAGAGGATTATTAGAAAATTTACATAGGTAACAATATATTTTATTTATTATCTACATTCCATATTTTGATATTTTTAACAGTTGTTAACTATTGAATAAAAAAAGTCTATAACACTTTTTTGTTAGTTTTGTGACTTTTCACTTGGCGATTTTGAATTCTTGTTAGTTGGTTAAGCGTTCTAATTTTATTTATATAAATAAAATTAGAACGCCACTGATAAACTGGAATTTAAGTCAACCATGTTATAGTTCTAGACTATGTTTCTAATGCTAATTTTAGTATGATGCCTAAAGAAGTTCTACAAGAAGCCAAAATAAAACGGATAGTAGGTAATGGATCAGGCCTATCTCGAAACATCGTCCTCCAAAAGGAGGTGCAACATCTCTATCAGCTCCCTCTAGTGTTCACGAAAGGCGGTGACGCAGCCAAAGGAGCAGCTATGGGCCTGGCTTTAGTAAGCGACTGTCAATGCAAAAATGCCTAGGAAAATTTATTGTTATTATTAGGAAAATTGTTGGATAATTCTAAGGAGTATAGAGTGAGAATACGATTTTTGAGTGATATTTTAAGTCAGCGTCAGTCATCACATAGAATGTAAAGTGTGTTTTATATTTTACTTGGATTGATTTATTAAGAAAAAAGAATGTAAAAAAAAGTGTTTGATGTTTGGATGTTTGCCTGTATTATCTGAAATGCCTAAATGTTTGATGTGATATTTTCGGATAAGTTAAGTCAGGAACTTAGTTTTCCGAGGCATATTTTTTGGTGGATTAACTTATTCTATGAATGGATGCGTATCATTCTTTCCTAGTTAAATTTCTAATGAGATAAATATCTGTAACATGGGGCCTATAAATACATACCGAAAAGTGTGGTCTGTTTATTTTAACATGTAAGACAGCTTAATGAAAGATCAAATGCATTAAAAAGGGATAAAAATTCGGTTGATACATTTCTTCTATGCGGTATTGTCGGATTTTGCATCAAAGTTTCAAACCGCACAAGTAGGCGTTTACGACAAAAATTCAGTCATCTTGGGTTGGAAACCAATGACTATAGAATATAAGGACATGTAACGCCCATATACGGGCTGCAGCAGAATTTGTGACATTAGATGCAATTTTTTTGATGGCGACGAATGAGTCATCAGCGACTTTAGCGATTTTAATAGTTTGTATATAGTGAACTTTGTATAAACTTTATTACAATGGCGATTAGTTGTTCAGCTTTCAAGTGAAAAAAGCCGCAGCGATAAGAAAGAGCCAGGAGTTACGTTTCATAGATAAATAAACAGTCTGCTCCACCTTTTTAGTGTTTTCTTAGTTTTCTTATTGAATTCGATAATTATTTTTTCTGATATTATATATGTGTGCTATACGTCGATACTAGTTTTGTACCTTTGTTAACATTTTAATACGTTTTTTCATAATTAATTAGTATGATACCACCGTATACACCATAGGGGTAGTTAAAACAATTATCAAAAAATATAAATGTCTTCAAACAATTAAGAAAAGTATGTCCCACGGCACTGCTTGAGTGACATCGTCGCAATTTGCTCTCGGGTGTTATTTGTCCTTGAATTCTTTAGTCATTGGTTGGAAACATTATTTTCACTAATTAGTTAGGTACTCATTTTACTACATCTGTAAAACATTATATTTAGCTTAGATATATTATCTTCATTTCAGTAATACACATTAAACTTTTAAAAACAGTTAATTATTTTCTACACACGTAAAAAACCGACAACACTGTATATCGCTTTTATTTTGTCTCTCTAACAACTGGTCATTTACATTTATCTCTGTGGCTTGTATTAAAATACAGACTACGTAGATAAAGTGTTCAGGCTGGTATATGTTGATCTGCTAAGTCTAGAGATATTTACAAAATAAGATTTACCATTCATTCTTCCAAAACTTATTTTTTTTGCAAATATTTGGCTTATAAAACAAAAATTTAAATAATTATAAAAAATGCAGTAATTGTATTTTGAAATTGTGAAGGGCCTAAAAATCTTTGGTATGGTATTTTTTTCTTCTAACTGTAATTCTTGTTGAAGTTAAATATACAGGTTGTTAACTCGACAGTTACTTATAGGGGAAGAGAATGGCAACACTGCCTATTGAAAACGCATGCATTATTGATTTATCTGCCGACTGGTCCCGTCGTCGCGTCTCGCTCTATCGACGCGCGGTTTGGTTTACATTTTTTTGCCTTTTTTCAACCTTAAATCTCTTGCCGCGAGTAATGAACAATTAACAACCTGTATATTTGAGTATATGTGGTTGTAAACATTCAGACTTTGATGTGATATTTAAGGATAATTGAATAGCACTAAACTTCAGACATTCATTACTTTTAAAAAAATAAAAGAAAACATTGTTTCGATTATAGTAGACAGAAAATTTTCTCGTGGTCTATAATTTTGTGTTTGAATTTTGTTGTTAAATGTTTGTATAATAAAATTAATATCTGTTCACCCAAATCTTAATGTTGTAATTACAGATAATTTATAATTAAAATTTACGCAACTCAAATTATCGAAAAAGATTCATTAATGCATGAGATGTTCTTGTCAACATTTACTTAGCCAAACAGTTTCACTAAGTTCAAATTTATTAAAAAAAATATCTACTCTGAGGCGAACATATTTGAGAGTAATTTTATCTAGTCTATTTACATAATAATTTCTAGCCTAAAACTAGTCTATATATGACGTACTAAAGTAACTTCTTAATGATTTAGTGTTCACCTAAACTAATTCACAATAATTTTAAAACTAATGTCTCTAGAAAACTTAGTTTAGAATTTTAACAAAGCCGAAGAAATTTGACTAGATCTACGTTGCTTTTTATTAAATTTTAGCGTATTAAAAGAAATTCAGTCATTTTTGCTTTCTATGTAATTGTAATGTATGTAATTCAACAAGATGAATTATTGTATAGAATTGTTAATTCTCTTATGAATTAGAACAGTAACGGATAATAAAAATTAATTTGTCTTAAGCATTTTTGATATAATTATTTTTTACCTTTTAATTAAAAACATTTATCTTTGAAGATTTTATTGTTGCGTGTATTTGCAGTAACTTTGTTATTTTGAGATACTATACAGGGTGTCCCAGAAATAAGTGTAAGTATTTTAACTGGTAATATAGTTTAACCCCAGAAACACGCCTATGAGGTTTTTTTTCGCGAAAAAAAATTTTGAAAATTTGAAATTTTTTGAAAAATTTTTGATTTTTTAGTTTTTAGTTAAAAAAACATAATTTCTTAATAATATGGCAACATAGGTTTTAGATTAAATTTACAAGAAAGAAAATACAGAAAAGATCTAGTGGTTCTCAAAATTTTAGCAAAAAATATTTTTTTTTGGAAATTTTCAAAGTAAAATAACTCCGTTATTTCAACGATAAATAGAAAATATGTTTCTTTTATCGAGATCTACCACCCCTTAAAATATTTGCACTTATTTCTGGGACACTCTGTATATTATAATTATTATTTTTTTGCATTAAATTATCAGCATTAAAAATCTCAATTAATATAATATGAATTATCATAATTGCAATGATGTCATCTTTTAGATACGTTATACCGTATGATCGAAAAAAATGGCGTCCAGTTGGCTTGGAAATTACGATCGATGGCATTCCCCATATAATTTTACATATAAAATGACAGCGATCTTCATTTCATAGCATTCGTTGACGCCGGGTTTTTTTTCGATCATATTGTATATGCTATCTTGTGAAAAAACTTAAATATATTCAAAATATTTATTCTAAATACATCATATGCATGAAGAGGTATAATTTATTGAGTAAAAACCTGATTGCGTATTATTTTTACTTCTTACATATCCAAAATAGTATATCAGAAATAAATAAAACCATACTGTATACACCGTATTCCAGATCTATTTTACTCCATTATAATTATCGATATACAGGGTGTGTAAACTAGATGTTGCCTTTGGACTAATAAATTTAATGTAGTCATAACAGGGTATTTTAAGTTTTTTTTTATTATTTATTTTATAGAATTTAGGATTTGTGCCATTGTTATATTTGTTATTGTTGTTATTAAGCTGTATATTTACATTATTTCCTTAACATTTACTCTAACAATGTTTAAATACTGAAAATTGTAAATATAAAATATTAATGGTCCAATAAATATGGCTATTTGTTGTTGATTTACTGTGTTTATTATTGTAATATATATGTTGTTTTATTGAAAAATGTGTTTTATTTTGATTTAATACTTTTTATATCGGAATTTTTCAAAACAAATTCGTACATAATTATCTAAAAAATCTATGCCAACTTCTGATATTCTCGCTTAATAAAAAATTGTATTTTAAATTTCAATCTAGTGTGCCATGGCTATTTAAACTATTTGGCTAAAACACTAATTTGTAATCAAGGAGCCTTGGAAAATAGATTTGATCGTCTAATCTTTTGTGTCTTGTCCTGGTCGTTTAAAAGATACCCAAATCGTAGTTTTAATCATATCTCAACTTTTTCAAATGGAACGAGGATGTCTCATTAGCATATTTGGAAAAAACCTTTTTTACGAATAATTTGATACCGCACACTTGGTATTTCGACTCAAATTGTCATTATGAACCACTTGTTACAAATTCAAATAAACCATATTCGAAAATGTTAAAAATTGACATATGATATGTCATTCTATTCAGAGTGTCATTTTCTATCGAATAAAGTAAAAAAATTCCTAGGATGCCATTTAAAAATCAAAAGTTGTTGTCATTTCCGGTGAAACAGGAAGTGACCGAAAACAATTGAATACGTCAATAAATCCTAATTTATCTCATATAGTAACATACCAAATCTCGTTTTTCTAACTGAAAAAATAAAAAAGTTATAGGGGCGAGCCACTTTTGAGACGCACCCGGTATATTATTTTATTGAAAAATGTGTTTTTTATATAATACTTTTTATATCGGAGTTTTTCAAACCAAATTCGTACATAATTATCTATAAACCAAATAACTTATTTAAATAGGCCATCAGAATCATAAAATTAAATAAAATGTTAACATAGAGTGCTTTGCTTTTACAGCCTGTCAAATATTTTCATTTGACGTAACTGGATATGCAATATATCTAATATCAAATTGCCGATAGTGTTGTTAAATTTTTAATTTTAACAATTAATTCAGTTTCACCAGAGGTTTGACGCGTTATTTAAAAAACTGTATATAGGTATAGATATTTTTTATTTAAAAAACTATTTGAGCATTACGTTTATTTTTTTACCTTATTATTAATAAAAAAATGTTTTTCTATTAAAACAGCGGAACTGAAATCGGTAAAATTAAACAAACGGTTAAGATTGTTTTTAGTTGGCTTTGGCATTGACAGTTAGCGAACGCTCAAAATTGTTTTCCAGTTGTGTTTTTTCTAGAAGTTCGTTTTGCAGATTATATAATAAAATAATAGTTTTAACATTATCACAGACATTATTGTGAAGTGTAGTGAGCTAGTAATTGATGAATTAATAACACTGAAAGAAAATATTTAAAAGTTAGGGGAAGTTTATAAGAATACTGAACAGGGGGATAATTTATTTATAGTGAGTGTCTTTGTTCCTGCACACGGGGGTGTCACTTGTATGGGAAAACAGGCAACAGTCAAATTTAAACGTGCCAGGACCAACGACAAAGAGCAACATCTGCCAGGCATTGGCTTTCTTTGTCCACATTGCGACGTGCCAAATCATGATACCGCGGCCATTTTGTCAACAAAGAAGCTGGCCGGGCTGTCCTGGCAAGTGATTTAAAAACAATTTTGCTTTTTTACAATATTAAATTACCATTTGGATGTATTTAATGCGATTATTCAGTTAACTGGTAAGTCAGAAATTACACACAAATACTTTATTCGTAAATACAACTAAGATGTAAACGTATTTTTGTATTTTTAGATTTCAACTTTTGCAAAGACCCGCCGATAGAACTTGCCTGGCAGTGTACCTGTTTAACTAAACGTATTATTTCCTGATAATAATATCAAAACACGTAAAATACCTCTATAATTTATGATGAAAAATGATTTTGATTAGGTATGTTTTTATATTATTTAAATACTTTTCTAACCTCAAATAATAGTAAGATCCTTGTTTATATCGCACAGCCAGTTCAAAACTGTATTGTCTTCAAAAATGTTTACAAAACAAACAATTATTACAAAAACAATGTCCTTTTTAATCTGATTACCTCCAGAAGGATGCCAGTAAAATTTTATTAAATCAACATTATATTATTTACGCCATTAATATGCAAAAAGGAGCATATTGCCTTAACTTAAATTTTC